ACTTACAAGTTATGGTATCTAATCTATGTCCTGATCAATGTCTGGGAATAAGTTTTACTTTGATCACACTGTATCTATTTAAAGGCTTCTTACAGCCTAGCCAAAAGGAAAATAAATTGAATAGAGGATTCTCAGTGTCTAGTTTATTAGTACAATTGTTCATTCACATTGATCAATAGCACACATTTTACAGCTGATCTTGAGTAACACTAAAGTTATGTCTTTTTCCTACAAGTATATATAAATATTTTAAAAGATGAAAGATTTATATTATCTGAAGAGAATCCAGAGTAAATGTGTACAATCGTGTTTTGTGGCAGAATATCCACATATATTTCTTTTTTTTGCACATTAAGTTACAGTGGAATATTTTTATTTGAGAATGGTTGAGATTTTGATAGTAATAAAACTATTGGAAACATCTTTCGAAACATCTTATTCAATTTTGTTCATATCAAAAATCAACCCACTTGGAAAAAACACCAACCTGGATCTGAGGTAGGTCTAGAATATACTGCTTTGCAAGAGATGTAGCATCTTTTTAAAAGTAGGCTTTTGGTTTATGTGATGCAATTTTACCTCCCATACTATTAATAACTAGAATAAATTCCTGGATGCTATAATTCTAACAGCTGGATAGATACCACAATTATTTGAATACCTGAATCTATTTGAAGTACCATTCTTTGATCCCAGGGCAATAGCAGAAGGCTAAACTAATGCTTGGGAATAACTGAAAATAAATTAAGGTATATTTCATATAAAGAATTTTGGCCACAGAATCTGGAAATAATTTATTCTGCATAAAAATGTATTTCAGCTAAACATTTACAGCCTGGAAATGAGCTCTAGATCAAGCACTCGGGAAAGAGCAGAAGTAAGGATTCTTTCACATATATAATAAGCAGGCCATGGCAGGAGACATATATTCTGGTCATGATCAGGTTAGATCACTATAATAGGCTATTGTGCGATCACTCCAAAAACTAGAATGGTTATGTTCCAGCAGAAGCCAAGAGATCATCACTTTTTTATCTGCTATACTTGCTAATTTCTAGGTTGAAAGGTGCTGACTTAAATCCTAACATGTAGAACCAAAAAGCACTGAAATCTTATAAAAACCCATTCCATGAGTCAAGGCCTTCCATTTCACTGCTATTTAAGGTATGTTAAATTGGTCTTCTAACCAGTGTTCAAAATGTATAATACTTCCCTATAGGAAAAATTCATTTCCAATTTGTCATTTATAAAGGAAGTTTTATTTCAGTGAGGGTTCTTCTAATTTTATTTTAACTCTATTTACCATTTTGTGTTAATTCATTAATCATGAAGCATCTTCTTACATTTACTTGACAGAATAAAATTAATTTACAGGACAAAAAATCATTTATGATTTTTTTTAAAAGAACATACTAATTAAACTAATCATTTTCAATACAGACATTTATTGCATTATTTTGTGTTATATCTCCCATAACTATTTAAAAACTTTTAAAGAGTATGTCAATAAATAGCTTTCAAAAATTCAGTAGACTATACAGTAATATCAATTTTTATGGTTTATGAAACAAGACATTTTATTGGGACTTATGGACAATGAATTAGAAAAGACTTATGGTAGACTGATTTTGTGTATGGTAACTACAAAGCAGAAATTAAAGCAGACTTGGATAAAATGAGCTGAAGGGATTTGTATATCATCTAAAAGGGGGTAAAAACAATATTGTAACTTTCTCTTGAAAAGAGTTTCAGAAGTCATTTATATATTCCTTTAGTTATTTTCTTTTGTTCCTGTTTTTATGTTTTAATTTGTCTTATATTCTATTAAAAATAATGTAAATAAAAAAGTTTTTTTTAATTTATAATAGCTTCACTATCTAGCATCTTTGATTTGATTGCTTGTAGGTCAAATAATTACTTAAAATATATTTTAAACCAGAGTAGATAACCTTTGATTGAAATAATTTATGATTCTACTAAATACTTTCAGTATAGAATACACCACACAATAGAGAGATATTAATCATGATGCACTTTTAAAGCAGAATGAAGTAATTGTGTTATATGCAGTACAAGCTGGATACAGACTTTATATATATCGATATTCATTAGTCATGCTTTTTAAAATATTTTCAAAACTTTCAAGACTGATAATTATATTAATCTATACATCATATACTGCACAAATTCAAGACCAAATAAATTATGACTCAGTAAAATAAATGGACTCAGTCTCAATATGGAGAAAAATATTCCAAGAAATTAGTCTCTATGAAAACAAAGATTCGGAAGAAAAAATAAAGTCACACATATTCTTCTATTACAATCCAACAGCGGCAGTCACTAACAAAGTTTCAGGTATACTGAATATTAGAAATTAATCCAAAAAATAGCTCACGATTAATCATAGTTAAAACTTCCATCTACTACCTTGCACCAGCAGCCATTAAGTCATTGTTCAGTCACAACAGTATGAAAGTATTAATTTTAAATTACCAGAAATAGTTTTAATCACTGACATCTGTTTATTACATGTTAGAAGAATTCAGTGTATTTTCCTTACTAAATATATCCCATTACTTCAGACTGTGTCTTCTTACATTATAATCCCTGTATGTTTTTCATCATTGCCTAACATGCTACCTACCGTATGTTATTTAAAGGGCACTGCATCATTAATGCCATGTAAGTAACAAAACATCTATAGCTTATTACTAATACTATACTGCAAAGAATCAAAAGAAAATTTAAACCCACTAAAATAAATTAAACACACTAAAATAAAAATAGTTAGAAATGCTTACTTTAAAATAGCCAGATAAACCTTAAAATATTTAAAAATCAGCCACAATAAACAGAAAACTAGTGTTATAAATATGTTTTAAAAAATGCACATTTTTTTTGTTATTTAGCAAGAGCTTGGAATTACCTGCCTTGATTACTGAAATTGTATTAATTTATAAATAAATCACTGAGACAAAATTCCCAAAACTATCACATAAAATATGGCACATCAAACAAGCAAATGTCAAGCTTCCTCTGGATAAATGCGTGTATCAACTTTATCTCATTATGTAGATCACAAAAATTTTAGTTTCAGCTTCAAAGACAGTTATTGACAAGATACATGGACATATATCTATATAACTATTTTGTCACCTATTGGAAAACAAAGCCTCTGTTTTAATTACAGCTTAAGTTACCTTTTAATATTTGTTCGGGAGTTTCTGTGGGACATATAAGTGAGAGTTCTATGCAAGAATATTGGCTGCAACAGAAAACAGGGAAAAAAATCAATCCAATGCTCACATGAGAGAATCTACAAAGTTAAAGACAAAGATGAATAGTTACTCACAGCTATAAGATTGCGGGTACGTAGAAATCTATATATTTGTGTTGGTTCTGTGAGGAAAAAATGAAATATTCTTTACACAAAGCTGCTAATCTCTCACTAGCTTTTATACAAGCACTATAAAGTCATACATAAAACATTCTCACTCATATCAAACCTGTGTTAATATATATTTCAAATATGAAATGAATAGGTGTTTTCAAATGGTAACCTAATAAATATCAATATCACTTTGTTGCAGGGATCAAAAGAAAGTCTGTGGAGATTCTCAATCATCCAGATCATCGTTGTCCCAAAGGTGTTTTTTTTCCCCCCAAAAGGCAACTTTTGGATTTTCTTGGTGGTTTTTTTTTTTGTTTAAAGAAGTTTCACTTTGCATCCAAGAAGCTTCTTCAATTCTAAGTTCTGGGATGAGAAGCGGAACGTTTAAAAAAACACATCAAGAAAAAACAGTTGCCTTTTGGAAAAAACAACTTTGGGGCAGTTCACAGAAAAGTATCATGGTAAATATCCTACTGTACAGCAGACAATCAGGGACCCTAACATATACCAGTAACATTTATATGGAAATGGAGTGTACACAACCTTGTATATTGGAACCTGTGGTACAGCAACAGCTAGAGGAGCCAAGTAATGAGCATAAGGAAGAAAACAAAAAAATCTTACAACAATTTAAGTATTTTAAACTTTTCAAAATGCCAGCTGGGTTTATAGATCACATTATATGCACCATAGCACGGTAGCCTAGTTTGCACAAATACCTAATGTATTATTTACAAACTAATCAAAGCTGTTATTTGTTCTATTAGATTAAAGAGTTGGGATTGCTTAGGTCTAAAAACCAGTCGACTAAAAACCAATCTTTCCATATTTTAGCTACAATGTGTCAAATGTTATATAAGGTATCATACACTGGATACTCATCCATCTATTTAACATGCTACAAATACTCTTTAACAAGTTACTCTTTTTTGTTTAGCTCAGGAGTGCGGCTCAACTTCTGTAATCCACTTCTCCACACACTAGTGGTCTACACCTTAATTAGAGCACCTTAAAAAACGAACAGTTAAGGCGGTATTTTCGGAACACGGAGTACATTAAATCGATTACTGTATAAAGAGACCTATATTTCGATTTCTTAAGGAATTCTCGAGGGTAGGAAGATGATACTGGAAACAACACAGTATCGCTTTACAACACCCACAGCTCCATCCCCATCATCCCTGCGAGACAGAGAGAGGGAAAGAGGGACCCAAAACGCAACTCTGCGCCGCGGTGCGCAATCCCACGGCTCCCGAAAGCTCCCGGAGTGGGCGTGCGTGCCCGCTGGCTCATTAACGAAATGATTAGCAAGGCATGAGTTTCCCTAACGAGTACCGCCCGGCCTGACAAGCCAGATACAGAAGCGGCGGCAGGTTTTCCTCCAGCCTCCGCCTCCCGCCCAAAGGGTCTACGGAGGTTCCTCCAAACGTTCAGGTGGCGGGTGGTCCCCAAGGCGCTTTTCCGAAAAGAAAGAGTGCAATCGCCTCCCTTGGAAAAGCACCTCGGAGACTCCCGCCCAAAGGATCGCAGGAAGAAGCCCCGCGCCGGGTCACCAGAGCGCTTTGCCCCGCTACCGCGGCGCGGCTTGGGGCGGAGGGGGAGCGGCCGCCGTGGCCCTTCATCCCCCTCCCACCACCACCACCACCACCACCACCCCCAAAGCCCACGCTCACTCTCGAAGGCCTGAAGGAAGAGCTCGTGGTCAGCCTGGATCTGCTCCATCTTCGGTTTTTTCACCGGGGGCAGGGCCGCCGCTGAACCGGCCGCCGCGGAAGATGCCGACGAACCCCCGCCGCCGCCGGAATAACTGCCGCCGCCGCCTCCTCCTCCTCCTCCTCCTCCGCCGCCGCCTCCAACAGCACCGCCGGATTTGCCGCCTGGCGCAGCGGCTGAGGTGAAGCCACCGAAACCCCCACCGGCGCCTCCGCCCGTGGCGGTGGCGGTGGCGGCAGCGGCGCCTCCCCCTCCGCTCGGAGCACCTGAGCTGGGCCCCGCGTTACTCCCGCCGCCTCCGCTGCCTCCGCCGCCGCCGCCGCCGTGCTTTTGAGGAGCCATGAGGCCTTTCCTCCGGGGCGGGAGTTGGACGTCAGGTGCGGACCGACCGTAGGAGGGGAAAGGGCGCGGGAGCGCTCGCAAGGTGAGGCGAGGAGGAAGTGGGAGCGCTTCAACTCTTCGGAGTGCCCCCGCTCGGTTCTCCTCAAGCGCCCTCTCTGCCCAGCCAAACCCGACGGCGCCGCCACCGCCACTCCCGCCCCCTCCGCCGCCTTTCTACTGGCTCCCGCGATGGCGCCGGACCGCTTTATTGGCCGACGGAGATCCCGCCCAGCCGTGACGGCAGAATGATTCTGCAAGAGTTTGGTTGGACCGCGCGCTTCACCGCCGGGAGCTTCCCTTTTCCCCTCCCCCTCGCTCTTCCTTTGAACTGAATTCGCGGGAAAACGAAGCTGCTGCTGCTCCTCCACCGGCCCCCCCCCTTCCATCCCCGGCCCCGGAGTGCATGATGGGAAAGGACCAGCGACTGGAGCTTTGGGTTGCTCTTCTTCGAACTAGCGACGCGTGTCGGATTGCTAAGAGAAGAAGCGGCGGCGGCGGCGGCGGCGGCGTGAAAACTCCGTCCTTGTTTGGTGGAACGGTTTTGAAAAATCTGAGCGCGCGGAAAAGCGATCACGCGCTAGTAGAGCTGGTTCCACACGTGCTGCAGAGTGTACTTATGGGTGCCATCTTTGAGATCTTATCTCTTGGTCAAATTCTACAAGTAGAAATTAATGTCTCGTGGGAACGATCAATGATCGTTTCCCCCCCTCCCCCGCAGTCGCGAACTCGTTCTTAGTTGCAGGATAAACGCGTCTTTCCTTCCATCGTCTGGGGGGGAAAATATGCTGAGGGCAAAATCATCTTGAGCCCTTTCTAATCTTCAAAAGTGATGGAATTTATTCCTTAGCATTGATGCTATAAAGTTTGAAACGTGCAAAATGTTTCTTCTCAACAAGATCTCTGAGATACAACCCAAATGCAAGTTTAAATAAAACAACTACATGCCACAACATTGTTAAAAGGATGTAATTTCTGTCTTGTGCAGGTGAACTATTGATAATGATTAAACTGTAGCTGTTCTTTTACAGTATGAAACACAATGGAGGAACAAATATAAAAATAAAAGCATTACAAATGCAGGATGTCCTTTGAGTTGCTCATAGTAAAATTCCATGGAAGAGATGTGATTGCTCACTGTGTTTGTAAAATTCAGTTGTTAACAGGGATGAGCTTTTGGATACCCACATAATAAATAAGCATTGAGATGTTTTTACTGTGGTCCTTAATAAATTTGGTGTATTCCAGGGAACTCTTATCCATAGTGACTCTGCAGCTAATTAATACATGATAAGAAATAAAAGCAACAAGCAGTTTTGATCAAGCTTCTAATACAATAAATGTCACCTATCATTGTATAGTTTTTAAGAGGCTGGACTACAGTCTATGCTTGCCTGAGGGAATTGTTGAGTCTTCAGACAATCAGTTTGTTTTAGCTGAATTTACCTTACTGAGCTCTTGGAGGAAGGTGAGATAGATTTCCAAGAAATAAACAGCATGCTATCTTCCTGATTCAGAACCTTTTTACTATCCATTTTAGAAACCGAGTATAGGAAGGATGATTCTTCATAATGAGTTTTTTTTTCTTTTTCTTTAAATATGTGTGTATTTGAGACAGTTTTTAATTCCCCGAATAGTTTTCTTGCCAATATTTTTTAGACATGGGTAGCCCTTATCTGCTTCCCAGGGACGAGAGAAACCAGCCCAAGGTCACCCAGCTGGCTTTGTGTGCTAGTTTTTATCCTGTTGCCTTAACCCCTACAGTATAGCAAACCAGCTGTCTTGTCCTGATGTTATGAGAGTATAACTCAGAAATTTTCATTTTCTCCAATGTAAAAAAACTCTAATCAAATAACTTATATACTGATACTAAAAACTTGCTTTCCATGGAAATTCCCAGATGTTGGGATAGTTCCAAACATTCATTATTTTGATTACATGACAGATCTTTTATTGGCATTGGAATTGGAAGATTAACTTTAGATACTTAATTGGAATTATAGTGAAAAAGATAGGATTGGCAACTTAGTATTTAAGTTAAAGGTTTAGGAGCAAGAAGGAAAAAAAATACTGTTTTCATGTAGATTAACAACATGAAACTTTCTAATATAAATTAATATTAATGAATAGATAAAATAACGGGTCAGTGGCTTAATTCATTTGTGGCTAATATGGGTGATAAAATCTTACAAGTAAATTTTACTGAATTGAGTAAAAATTGCATTCATTTAAATCGGTATAAGATTACATCCTGTATTTCAGCAGTTAATACATGAATGATATTTGATTAGTATTTAAGAGAAAATTATAACCTATAGAGAATGATTCGCCTACATTGTTGTCTTCCAGATGGAACCAAGGCACAGTTAATTTTGGGTCTGAATATGAATAATAAGAAAGATGACTCATAACCATTCATGCTCAAGTTGTTAATATATAGTAATATATTAGGTAAGATCTCCTGAAATCTAGTCTGTTCAAAAGGAGAAAAATCCCACAATTTTTGGACTTAGTTATTAGTCAGGATAAAAATTCAAAAACTTGTACAGTATTATAGATTTCTGCTGCTGATATAAACACAAAGCTTGCTAGTTTAACCAAATAAGACACATGATTCTGTAGAATATTTTTTCCATACAATTACTGCTTTAGAGTATTTTAGTTTGCCTCTTTGAAACTGCTGTTGGTGGAGAAGCATCTTTGACTAGAGATTACCTGATGCTTCTTCTTGAATCAGAAAGTGATTTTATAAAGAAAATACTGTGCAGTATAACAGAACTCTGTTTATGTGATTATTTAGGAATATTGGGCCATTAATTCTTGTACTGGAAAATAGTTATTTTTTATTTCTCTTAATTTAAAATGTGATGTGATGTCTTGAAATAGTTTATATTACATTCAAATGGGCTAAAGTGATCATTCTGATGCAGATTAATATGGATAATTCATATTATTTACTTGTGGACCCATATTTTGGTAGGAACTTAGAGCAGTACACAGATACACTTTACAAGAATTTGTACTGTAGATATCAGATTAACATATAGGTCTTGATAAATTTTCCCAAGGTAAAACTACTCTAAAATTAATATGTGGTTAAAACATTGTAATAACAACAATGAATGAAGAACAGCCACTGTCATCTATTCATAATTTCTTTGTCTAAGTCTAAGACTTTAGTCTCTGCTACTTTAAAAAAAAAGGATCCTTCACCCCATTAATTTTTTGTTATATGCTCAAATGGTGAACTTAAGGGCACATGGGAAACATTTACAGGAGATTTTCTGAAGGAGGCAGGAACAAAAGACATGTCAAGTTGCATTTTAGTTTGCATTCCAAATCTACTGAGCAGGGTTCTTACAAATCAAGTTCTTTCTTGCCTGCCATACACTGCATCTGTTACTCAGGTCTGAATACTTTTGACAGTCCATAATGTTAATTGTGTTAAGATAATTAGAAGCAGAATATTCTTCCCAGTTCTCAGGTACACTTAGATAAGTTATCTAACATCATACATATATTTGTCCCAGCATTTTCAACATCTTGCCCATTGTCTCTGTTTTAGCAATTTTGCATTTATGAACTTCCAGAATACAACACTTTTGAGATTATATTGTTCTGCCTGTATTTCCTTCTTTCTAACAACTATGAATCATATAGAAAGGTTTCATCTTTGCTACGATGGAAATTATGCCCCAGTTATGAAATTGTTAAAATTTTGACAAGTTTTCCACACATGGTTTTAATGGCCAGTTGGTCCGCATTGCAGTGTATTGTAATATAGAAAACATATGAATATAAACCATTAAACAAATTTACTGAAGCAAGTTACATAATATTACACTGAAAACATATATATATCTGGCCTTACAAAAACCTGAGTAAATAAATCATGGAAGAATGTTTATTGAATTGGGATATTTCTGATAATCAGGGTTAATTATGGACAACTTATTATTGTGGAAATAACATGGTTACTCGAATCAGTGAAATAACCCTAGCAGGCAAAATATACAGATAGTCCTCGACTTACAGCCATTTGTTTAAGTGACCGTTTGAAGTTACAACAGCACTGAAAAAAGTGACATGACTGTTTCTAACACAACCCTTGCAGCATTCCTGTGGTCACATGATCAAAATTTGGACCCTTGGCAAATGGCATGTATTTATGATGGTTGCAGTGTCCCAGGGTCATGTGATCACCTTTTGTGAAGTCATTTGGCAAGCCAGAGTCAATTAACAGCTGTGTTACTAACTTAACAATTGCAGTGACTCACTTAACAACTGTGGCATATGATAGAGCAAAATTCACTTGACACTTGTCTGGCTTAGCAATGGAAATTTTGGTCTCAACTGTGGTGTAAGTTGCTGGCTACCTCTATCCTAAATCAAAATTCTGTGGCTATTGGTTTGTCCAAGTCCTGTCTCAAATCTGTGTTTTATATGATCAGAAAGTCTCTCGTTTTATTCAGACAACCAACATGGATTTTATTCTGCTTTACCTGGCATGGGCTCCTTCAGGGAATCCTGAAATCTAAGTTTTGCACTAACGAAGAGCATTGTCTGCTGAAGATTCCACTCTTGCCACTGGAGCAACAGGGTGACTATTAAACACAATTTAGGGATGCTCTCGATCGTGAGATAGATTGAATACAATGGGTGCAACGCTCGCTCCTAGCCTACAATTGCAGCACTGCATCAATCAAACAGGGTTTTTGACACTCGGAAAGACAAAGCTGGAAGTGGAAAACATCTAACTGGTGTGTGCCATTTTCTTCCTGTAAGGAAGCGAGTTTTCTAAGCAAAGCATTAACAAGCGATTCCCTTCACTCTCTGCCAATTCTGTTAATAGTACAGAATTGTACAGAGAAAGTCCCAAATTCAAGCCCTGGTGGGACCGCGAAAATATCTTCCACCCCAAACATAATTGCCGTGGAGGGTGGAGCTGGGTTGTTCCCATGTTGTATATTAACTTTATAGCCAGACATGCAGCACAGACGGCGTATGCCCTGTTATTTTTTTTTTTCTCCTGTCCGAAACCAGAAAGGCTGCAATTATTCCAGGAGCCACATGGTGGAAGCACCGGGGATCCTGCGCCGTTTTAGACGGAAGGGAAAGGAGCGGCCCGGCTCTTCGCTACAGGAAGCGGAGGGCGAGCGCTCCACGTGTGTTTCGGTTCGGCGTAGCGCTCCGTCGGTCGCTTTTTTTTTTTTTTTTTTTTGCTGGTGATGGCTGAAAGGATCGAACAACGCATCGAGGACCGAATTCCCGAGCTAGAGCAGTTGGAGAGAGTCGGGCTGTTCACTCGTAAGGAAGTCAGGTAAAAGGGGAGGTCTGTGAAAGCGGGGCGTTCACAATAACTAGGGAGGAAGGTGGGAAGAAAGCGGGACAAATGCAAAATTTGGGGGGAGCGGGGAGGGGGGGAAAGGGGTGGAAGGAGACCCTAGATGCTTCTACTTGCAGCAATATCTTTTTGATTAAGAATAAACCATCACAAGGGTGGCTTTACACCCCCTTCTCCAATCTTGTGTCTTCCAAGTGCACTGGAATTTCTTTTAGTCCCAATACAAAGGCATAAGATCACTTTTAAGGGAGGCTTCTTAAAGCTGGACATCCTAAAAGTCATATATGTGTGTGTGTATGTATATATATATATATATATATATATATATATATATATATATATATATATATGTTTATATATATATATGTTTATATGTATATGTCTATGTAATATGTATATGTATATACATGTATGTATGTGTGCATATATATATTGTTGTTAGTTGCAAAGTTGTGTCTGACCCATCACGACCCCATGGACAATGTTCCTCCAGGTCTTCCTGTCCTCTGCCATCTTCTGGAGTCCCTTTAAGCTCACGCCTACTGCTTCAGTGACTCCATCCAGCCACCTCATTCTCTGTCGTCCCCTTCTTCTCTTGCCCTCAATCTTTCCCAGCATTAGGCTCTTCTCCAGTGAGTCCTTCCTTCTCATTAGGTGGCCAAAGTACTTGAGTTTCAACTTCAGGATCTGGCCTTCTAAAGAGCAGTCAGGGTTGATTGACCAGTTTGATCGCCTTGCAGTCCAGGGGACTGCATATATAAATATGTATATACGTGTGTGTGTGTGTGTGTGCGCGTGCGTGCGTGTGTGTGTGTGTGTGTGCATGTGTGTATGTATGTATGTATATATGTGTATGTGTGTGTACACATACATACAGAAGTAGTCCTCTAACGACCGCAATTGAGCCCAACATTTCTGTTGCGTGAGACATTTGTTAAGCGAGTTTTGCCCCATTTTATGACCTTGCTTGCTACAATTGTTAAGGGAGCCACTTCAGTTGTTACTGTAAAGGTAAGGTCCCAAAAGATGATCACAGGCCCCCGGAACGTTGAAACTGTCATAAACATGAACCAGTTACCAAGCATTTGAATTTTGATCACATGACTATGAAGATGGTGCAATGGTTGTAAGCGTGAAAAAACAGTCATGTCACTTTTTTCAGTGCTGTTATAACTTTGAACGGTCACAAAACGAACTTGTAAGTCGAGGACTACCTGTATTGATAAGTGGCTATCCTTCCAGATTCCACCTATATTACACCACAATTTCTCCTGGGTAATTGGCTGCATTAGAAAAAAAATCCATCGGCTCCAACAACTGAAAGAAGCTGTGCTTGACAGGGTAGCATGGAGAGCACTTTCCTATAAAGTTGCCAAGAGTCAAACACGACTGAACAGCTAAAACTATTACTAATATGGATCAGAATTAACGAAAGGATTTTGCCTTCATTTTTGCAGGGCTGTCATTAAGAAGGTCTCAGCTCTTGAATATAAGATACAACGGAGAGCACTTCACAAGAAAGACTTCATCGGTTATATACAGGTAGTTTTCTCACTCAGATTTTTTTTCAATGTATTTTTATCTGTTGAGATGAATACATCTGTGATGCATTGTTTATTCCGCCATCAACTTCTTCAAGTGGTTTCTTTCTCAAATGTGAACCTGCAATGAGATGCGTTAAAATATTACTTAGGGGAAAGGTAAACAATCTTTCCATTACTTCACATGATGTTACAGGGACCTCCCAAAGAATTTTTGAAAATAGAAAACGTAATTGTAATCAATTACATTTCATGAGATTTTAGGAAAGTTAAGAACTATTGTAAATTCAGACTATTTTGCATGACTTTTTTTTTAAGTTTTAGAAATTTGGAGATCAGTAGGGGGAGTGCCTACATCGACCTATGACCATAATTGAGCCCAAAATTTCTTTTGCAAAGCAAGGCACTTGTTAAGTAAGTTGCACAACTTTTTTGTCACAATTTTTAACTGAATCACTGCAGTTAAGCGAATCATGCGGTCATTAAGCAAATCTGACTCCCCCCCATTGACTTTGCTTGTCGGAAGCCGGCTGGGAAGGTTACAACTGGTGATCACATGAACCCGGGACAGTGCAACTGTCATAAATACATGCCAGTTGCCAAGCGCCTGAATTTTGATCATGTGACCGTGGAGACATTGCAACAGTTGCAAGTGTAAAAATTGCACTTTGAATGGTAATTAAAGAAATGGTTTTTTTATAATTTTTTTTTTTTATAATTTAATTTGTATCCCGCCCTTCTCCTCACCGGACTCAGGTAAGTTGAGGACTACCGCTACTGATAACAGAAGAACAGAATTGGAAGGGACCTTGGAGATCTTCTAGTCCAGGGCTTCCAGTGGTACGGGTACCACCTGTGGTACATTGGCACCTGGCAGGTGGTACGTGACCATCCTAGAAAAGTAGCGGGGGAGGGGAATGAGCTGAACCAGTGGCAGCACCGCACAAGCCTGAGCGAGAGACGGCTGGAGTTGCAGGGCTGTCAGGGCTCAGTGGAAGCGCCAGGATCAGCGTCAGGCTCCAGCTGGAGCTCGGCGCTGATCCTGGCCCTTCTGCTGAGCCCAGAAGCGCCGATCAGCTGGAATGTTGCAGCATCTCCAGGGTCTTGTGATTTACATTCAGATGCTTGGCAACTGATTCATGTTTATGACGCTCACAGTGTCCCAGGGTCATGTGAAGTGACCAAAACCTGCTGCAACCACCCAGCAGACGGGGGGAATAAAAACCAAACACCCCCCCCCCACCCCACCCCCGCTGCCAATCCTCAACAGAAATGCTCACAACAATGAAAACCTCGGACAGGAGGAAGAGCGTGGCCGGGTGGGTAGGCAGGTGTCTTGCTCAGCTGTGGCTTGGGGGGCACTTTTTTCAGTGCCATTGTAACTTCGGACAGTCACTAAGCGAACTGTTGTAAGTTGAGGACTACCTGTACTTTATCACTTTTTTCCTTTTTGGGGTGGGTCATCAAATTTTTAACACCTTGCTAGGCGACTCGTGGTACTTGGATATTGCCATATCCTAAAAGTGGTACAATGGGTGAAAAGGTTGAAAAGCCCTGTTCTAGTCCAACACCCTGCTCAAGCAGGAGACCCTATATCAGGGGTCCCCAACCTCTGGTCTGTGGACCCGTACTGATCCGCTGCATGCCAGCAACCGGTCCACACAAACAAGCAAAGCCCCATCCATGGGATGCAGGCAGCACACAAAACCACACACTTTATAGTATAATCAGTAAGCATATGGATCTACTTTGGTATAATGGTTAAAGCAGGGGTAGTCAACCTTGGCTCTTTTATGACTGGTTGACTTCAACTCCCAGAATTCCTGAGCCAGCCATGCTGAGGGGAAAGGGAGAGGTTTCCAAGCTGAGCCATGATGGCTCAGGAATTCTGGGAGTTGAAGTCCACGAGTCATAAAAGAGCCAAGGTTGCCTACTCCTGGGTTAAAGCATCAGGTTAGAAAGTAGGAGGTCTAGTTCTTCCTTAATCACAAAGCCACCGGGATGACCTTGAGCCAGTCCCTTCTCTCACATTAAAAAGAAGGAACTGGCAAGGCGCTTTTGAAAAATGTTGTCAGGAAAAGTGCAGGGAGCAGGTTGTATAGATCCAGGGGTCCAAAATGACTTCAAGGCACAACTTTCAAGCGTGTATAGGACACCCTGTTCCATTTTCTAGCTTCTGTATTTTAACTAAGAAGTATGTAAACATTTCAACATGTTTCTATTGCCTATATTTTTGCTGTTTGTTCATAGACTTGTGCACAAATGCACGGTTTGTCAGATGTTAGAGGGAATGTTGCCCCCTGTCACCCTAAAAGCAAATTTTGTGGATAGTTGATGAGGGGTGTATACAGGTAGTCCTTGACTTATAACAGTTCACTTAGTGACCATTCAAAGACAATGGCACTAAGAAAAGTGACTTATGGCCATTTTTCACCCTTACAACTGTTGCAGCATGCCCATGGTCATGTGATCAAAATTCAGACGCTTGGCAACTGGCAAGTATTTATGACGGTTGCAGTGTCCCCGGGATCACGTGATCACCTTTTACGACCTTCTGACAAGCAAAGTCAACGGGGAAGCCAGATTCACTTAACAACCGTTTTTACTAACTTAACAATTGCAGTGAGTCGCTTAACAACTGTGGCAAGAAAGATCGTAAAACGGGGCAAAACTCACTTAACAAATGTCTCGCTTAGCAACATAAATTTTGGGCTCGGTTGTGGCTGTAAGTCGAGGACTGTCTGTACACACATGAAGATAGGAGATAGGAGAAAGCAGCTATATTACAGGAGTGGGTAATAATATGTGACCCATCAGATTGTTGCTGAATTCGACTCCGATTCCATTTTGCTGTTTGGAATTCAGCAAGATGTGAAGGTGTGTTAAAAATGTAAGAAAGTTGCACCCAGTCAAGCCGTTGGCCCGATTTGTTCAATATTGCTTGGTGTGACTGTTCCCCAGGCATTCAGTCCTACCTAGAGGCACTTCACCGGGAGCTTTTGCTTATGAAGAGATTACTTGTCGCTCAGCTGTGATCCTTAGAAAAAAATAGATTATTTGAGACTGATGGAAGTAGATTGAGGAAAGCAAAGCAAAGCTTCCCTGCAAGGGAGTGATGGGTAGACCTTGTTATCTTCTCCCCTTTGGGGAAGCAGTTAAGTAGAGAACTTCTTGAGGAGATGGACAACATATAAATTTAATAAAACAAACAAACAAAACATGGGGGGGGGAGTCTAAGCAGGTGAATAACCTGAACAATACACTTCAATAAAAGCTGAAGTGACACATTTCTTTATTTTAGAATTCCAAATGATTATAAACGGGGGCAACAACTAAATCTTACTTTTGATCAGCATGTTGATCACATAGTATCTTTTGAGACTGCTGGTTGATCCCCTCATTCCATTTACTTCTTAGCCTTCAGCAAACTTTGGGGTTTTCTGAGTGGTATTAGTACTTGCCAGGAAAGATCAGGACAGTAAATCTTGGGCTTGTCTCTAATTTGCAAATACCTTCATTAGTGTGGATAGTGCTTGCCTAAGAATGAGCATCCAGAAAAACACTTTGTTATTGATTTATTGGACTGGGGGATTAGAGTAATTCTTAATTAATTGTGTTATAGGCAACTTGCTTCACTTGTAACTGTTACCATACATTGTAGAAATGCTAAAAATGTAAGACTGGACAGTAACAATCTATTCAGCACAGTAATCTTTGAATTATTGTTGATCTTTTTCTCTCAGTATGAAATCAACCTCTTGGAACTGATTAAGACACGAAGACTGGTAAGTTAACCCAGGGACTGATCATTTGAAAAAGCGTACGGAGATTTTTTAACACGGTGACAGCTGTGTTCTTTTCCTTTAGCGCATTGGATATTCATTTAAGAAAGAAGAGATTGAATACTCCATTGTGCAAAGAATTCATGGCATTTTCAAACGTGCTACAACAAAATGGAAGGTAAACCTATCGTTATTACAGAAATGGCTTTTTTTCTCATGTTTTGATGCTATTAAAAATAGACAAATAGAGTCATCTTTATGTGTGAATCAGAAACCTAATGAGCATGTGCACTCTCTCCATGTTTAGGGACCAGAATCTATTCCTTATCTCAGAAGCAAAATTGTTGTTAAGTGAATATATTGCAGAAAAAGAAAAAGGCTGCAAAGGCTGGTTCTTAAGATCTCTGAGAATGAAGGCCGGGAGGGGCAACTGTGTGTGTCCCTCCGGGCCTCCATTTATGGTGGCAAAGGCTTTTTGCAAAGATGGCAGAAGGCTTTGCAAATGGAGGGAAGGCTTCGGTGCTTCAGGCCTTCCCTCCATTTGCAAAGCCTTTTGTTGCAGATCTCGTCCAGGCCCGTTTGCAGAGAACAGAAGCCTACTGAACTCACACTTCTCTTGGCTTCCTTGTGCTTGCTCAGCACTATAGCATCCTCTCCTCCAATTTACATGAGACCAGCACAGGACCTCACCCATCTGGGGGGGGGCAGGCATTCCCATGCTCCTTACCTGGGACTCCCACTGCTTTCTGCTTAGCAACCTGTATGTCTCGGGGTTACGACGGCAGTTGGGACTTCCTGGATTACATAACTTAGTATCATCAATCCCGGTCCCAATTGCCATCATAACCCAAGGACTACCTGCAATCTCCTTCCACCAGAATGATAGGAGCGATGGGAACTGAAGTTTAATCTAGAAGTTGTGTGGAGTGATACATGGCATTGTTTGCCTTCCAGCAGGACCTGGGTGAAGCATGGAAGGGAAGCCTTAAAAGTACAGCAATTTCTACATAGATTCTAAACATGGTTCGATATTTTCCATGAGCGGCGTGGTGGCCTAGTGGTGAAGACTCTCGCCTCCCACTCGGAAGGTTGAGAGTTCAATCCCAGTTAGCGGCAGATGTTCCTCTCCTAGGGTGCCAAGAAAAAAAGTGGTGGGAGTCCCAGGTAAGAATTGCAGGAGGGTGGAGCGAGTTTGGGAGGCCCAACAAAAGCCACACGTGAGTCAAGGGATATTGGAGAAGAACTGAAGAGGCCCAGTGTAGGCTGCCCGTGAGTCAAGTGAGGTTCTGGAAGGGTTTGGGAGGCCCATTGCAGGCCACACAGACAGGAGTGACTTACCAGAGCAATTTGTGACTTTTCCTACTGGCTTCCCCATTGACTTTGCTTATGAGAAGCTGGCAGGGAAGGTTGCGAATGGTGATCACACAGCTCCCTGTTATATTATAATCACAAACAGGGTTCTCTAATGCCTAGCTTGTGATTGTGTGATAGCAGGGGCTGGAACTTTTGAGTATTGATCATACGTTCATTTTTTCAGCACCACTGTAATTTTGAATGATCACTGAACAAATGGATGTAAGCTGAGGACTACTTGTATCGGTATATTCATCTCCTGTTTCTAAAGTTGTTGCCCTCTCTGAATGCTTATTTGATTTGCTCCTTTCCCCTCTTTCCTTTGTGAATGAATGGTCATGAGTTCTCAGCTGATTCCTTTCCCCTTTGTTTCACTCCAACAGGATGACCTTCAGCTGTGGCTGTCTCATATTGCATTTTGCAAGAAATGGGTGGGTGGATATAATTTCCTTGTAATCAATTTGTGCTTATTGTTTGAACTAAGATTCCTCCTTTTAATTTTTTTATCCAGCGGTGCTCTTTTCCATTTATTGGAATATGGAACTGAATGCAGCATTTGCAGTATAAAATGCTGTGGGTCTTCAAAGGAATTGCTTAAGGGTAGGAAGCAAACCATCAGTTGCGGGCCAAATAGACATCCAGGACAAGATACTTAATTTTGATACTCCATTTGTGGAACTTACGCTGTTATTAAAGTTTTCCTTTTTCTCGTCTGGAAATTACATCAAAAGTATTGCTGGAGAGTCTTTGCTACATGAAAATTGTAGTGTCAAAAATGGTTTCTTAATTAAGCTAAGTTAATTAACCCATACAATCTGCCAAGAAATAAGAGAATATGTACATTTCTGGATGATTAGGGATATTATTTATTTTACTTGTCCTTTCCAAATTTAGTGCTATTTAATTGTTCCCAACCATTCCCAATTTTAATTATGGGAAATGTAGATATAGTGAGTTCAATCCATGCTTCAATCCTTTGAAGACTTGCGTCTGTCTCTAGTTAGATCAAGAAAATCCAAGTCCTGTGCAATGAAAGTGATTTAGTTTCATATTGAAAAGCGTAACTAAAATTATGTTTTCTGTTTTATTACAGAACAAGAAAATACAGCTGAGTAAAGTGTTTTCTTCCATGTTAGCCCTTCATCCCAACAAACCAGGTACATGGGTTATCTCCCATGTCTGTAATTCTTCCTGCAAGAAGCACAAACCTTTTTAATTGTTAGTCCTTGGACATATAAACAGAATTTGGCTGATGAAATTGAGGACATCTGGAGTGTGAGAGGTTTTTCTGATGTGTTTTAATTACAGATAGGCCTCAAGCTATGGCCATAATGAAGCCTGCCTATTATGGTTGTAAGTCATGATGGTCATAAAGCAGATTATGGAACTAGACCCAATTTTCTAACCTGTTTTTGCAGCGGTTTTGTTAAATGAACGCTGTGGTCATTAAGCAAAATGCATTGTTCACTATGGGGCTTTTTTGCTTGAAAACTGGAGGTAAACGCTAGTTTTGGCAAAACTGTTGTAAATTATAGTCATGTAATCATGGGATTGGAACTGGATCATAAGTATCTTTTGGGGGGGCCCATTGTAACTTTTAATGGTTGCTAAGTTGAGGACACCTGTACTTTTTAAAATATAGTTTAATTTTATTTAAATGCTTTATACGCACACACACACACACACATGTATCTGGCTTTTGTAGAAGTGGTTTGACATGAATGTATTTCAGGTGTTACAGAAATGAAAGAGATGATCTATGCTGAAATATGTAATTGGGTATACAATGCATCATTTTGTCTAGGAATCATAGTAACATTATCTAGCACAGAATAGGAACCTCTGACTTTCCTACATTGCCAAGTTACAGCCATGCTGGCTTGGCTGTTGTAAACAGCAAAAGTTAAGCATTTCTTTTTGGGGTGACCTCTAGTTTGATGCCTCATTCTGTGTTGGCTGTCTTAAATAACCTTTTCTGTCTCTTTGATTAGCTTTGTGGATCATGGCTGCAAAATGGGAGATGGAAGACCGCCTGTCATCAGAAAGTGCTCGGCAGTTGTTCCTTCGTGCATTGCGTTTCCATCCTGAATCTCCTAAACTTTATCAAGAGGTAGGCAGGTGATTCTTCCTCCTTCCCTCCCTCCTCTCTCTGCAATAGAATATAGAACAAATACAGCTGACCTGTTCCTTCTCACGAAGAATAAAATATCATCAGGCTTGTTCATCTTCGCTGGGAAATTTTATCTTTGAGTTATAGATTGTAAGGTATGCTTGGGTGTACAGGTAGACTTTGCTTAACTGCCCTATTTAGCCACTGTTCAAAGTTACCACAGTACTAAAAAAGCAACTTTATGACCGTCGCAGCGTCCCCATGGTCCCGCAATCAAGATTCGGGCACTTCACAAGTGGTGGGCATTTATCGCCATCACCTGTCCCCTGGTCATGTGAGCGCTATTTGCGTGTTTCACAAATGGCTTCCAACACGTAGAGTCAGTGGCAGTAAAAACACAAGTTGTGGTAATGGGATGTTTCTAGAACAATTGTGGATGATTTGTTTAACGACCACAGAGCAGAAGTAACACGGGAAGTCTGTCACCATCACATGATGTTCTGCTTAGCAACCGCATCATTTAGTGTAGAGTTGCCAGTCCCAATTATGGTGGCTAAGGAAGACTACCTATATGCGTATATGTTTCAGGAGAAAAAGTCAAAGGTAGATATTTTTTAAAAATATTTTCATGCCATCTTTTTTTTTCATGTACAAATCAAGGTGGCAAACATACCAATCCTCCTTTCTTTTCCTATTTCCTCACAACAAAAGTCTGTGAGATGAGTTGGGTTGAGAGAGAGTGACTGGCCCAAAGTCACCCAGATGGTGTTTGGTGCCATTCCTACCAGCAGTTATCCCGTCATTGTTCTTTCAACCTAGTACTAATAAAGATACACACATTATATTGCCTCAGTAATGGTTAGGAAATGCTAGAAGCTGCTATAGGTATTTATGGAAAAATATATTTTACCAAAAATGAGAAAACCATGTTTTTTAGTGGGCTTTGTAAAACACACCGTGTGTTTCTTTGCTTAATGGAAATGCAGAAGAAATATTAGTTTTTTGAAATCCCACCAGCCAAAAGAAGACACAGTTGCATTTGGAGTTATGTTGCAAGGTTGTCTTCATGCTCTTAACATTCGAATGCCATATACTCTGTATATGGCAGGCTATTGTCAGTGGTAAATTCCAATGATGTGTCTTTCAATTATGATGTTATTTTTTTCTGAAGCCTTTTTCTGGTTAAATGACAGTAGTTGGAGAAAGAGAGCCAGTCTACAAAAGTGACATAATTAATCGAGATGAAAATGCCGTTAGGGTGCAAATATAATATTGAGTCCTTGAAATCAATCTTAAATGATGTGACTTGGTTAGCTATAGGATAAAAATGTCCTGCATCAAAAACTATTTAAGTTAAGAGTGCTTTAAGCAGCAATATTAACAAGGACTGCTTTTTAACCAGGAAGCTATGATTGTGTTCTTTATAATTGTTGAATGCCTTGATACATTATTAATTCTCTCTTCTTCTTTCCCCTTCCTCCTTTCCTTTCCTTTCCTTTCCTTTCCTTTCCTTTCCTTTCCTTTCCTTTCCTTTCCTTTCCTTTCCTTTCCTTTCCTTTCCTAGTATTTTAGAATGGAGCTGATGCATGCAGAAAAGCAGAGGAAAGAGAAGAAAGAATTTGAGCAAGCGAACATAGATTTAGTAAGAAATTATTATGTTATCAAAAATATTTCTTTCTCTCCATGGTACTTATTTAATTTAAATTGTTAAGTGGAAGGATTTCAAGGGTCAGCTTAGAATAATTATTGCATATTTGTGCAGTGCTTTCATGCACTCGCTATAGTTAAATAAATGAATCCAACATCCCCTATCTGTTGTGCAAACCTGGGCTTCAAAGCAGATTGCCTGACCAAGAAGAAACTCTCCAACATTCTTCTCTTGACTGATTTTGATGTCCTTCCATTGCTAAATCAAAAGACTTTATCAGCAGGCAGCGTTTGTTATCAAAGACAGGATGCAAATGAGATCACATTTCAGTGCTTCCATTTGCACTTCTAGAGGTCGTAACTTGTATAAACATGTGCCAGGTAGGTTTTTTCCCCCCAATCTGTTTTAGATCCTTCTTTCATTGAATTAGAATCCATCCAATTCCAAGGTTTTGTAGCAGGTAAACAATATGGCCTTCCCAAGGCCTAAGCACCAGCAGCCAATGAGAAAAAATGTTTTGTGTTGTTTGCGGTGCTTTTTTTCTTAAAAAAAAAAAAAAAGGTGCCGGAACTCACACATGTCATACAACCTGCCTTGCCTACCCTACAAGGTTCCATCCAAAAAAGGTGCCGGAACTCCGTTTTGGGCGTTCTATGAGAAAAAAAAGCCCTGGTTGTTTGTAAAAGATGTGTGGGTCTGACTCTTAGCAAGTTACTGGAAGTTTTGTGACCTGTTTTTGTTTTTAAGCCCTTTCTTTTGTTCTTCAGTTGCTCATTGAAAGGTAAACCACGACTTACAATTAGATGTAGTAATGCTGTTGTTGGGCTAAGTTGGAGATATTGTTTAAAGAAGAGACACTCATTTTTGTTAACAGTCTCCAGCAATTAATTCCAAATGGAAACATTGTAATCCTCCATCATTCCAGGCTATATACGGCAGTGCTAACTACTATCAGGGAAAGAAGAATGTAACGCATTGATTTGAACCTTACTGAAAGATGGAACTTATTAGGTGCTGGAATATTGGAGTTCAAGATTCCAGTCTGCCATTTGCTTTTTATTAGGCGTGATAAATCAAATTTGTCAGAGTATGAGAGAAAGATCAAAATGCCATAAGGGTTTCTACTAAAGATCATTCCTTTTGTGGATTATGACGTATGTGTCATGGTTCCGACAGATGAAACTCTTCAAAGAACTTTGAGGCATTGTTTACCTTAAAGAATCTTTGTTTGAGAAGCATAGCAGCGGCACTAGCATAATCGAAGCCAAAAACGCGGAATTCTCCCCCCCCCTTGAGCACATAGTATCAAAGCACAATTCCCTCCTGCAATTAACAGTCATAAATCACATTTCCCAATTAGTTTAAAGTGCGGCCAATTCTTATCATCTCTTATTTCAACAACCTTGATTCTCACGCTAATCTCTAGTTCGGGTAGGCAACCTTGGCTCTTTTATGACTCGTGGACTTCAACTCACAGAATTCCTGAGCCAGTATGGCTCAGCTTGGAAACCTCTCCCTTTCCCCTCAGCTTGGCTGGCTCAGGAATTTTGGGAATTGAAGTCCACGAGTCATGAAAGAGCCAATGTTGCCTACCCCTGGTCTAGCTGAACTCTCATGCACATCCCCCCCTCCCCAGCATCATGTAACTCTAAAAGCGAAAAGAAGAAAATGGCTGCATCTCCATCTGTTGTCAAAGCAAAAACATCCGATGTTAACAACGTTGACATCATGGTTTAATTCTGCCAAATCATCTTTATTTTTAAAAAAAATATAAAGAAAATGGCTGTGCAATTTTCAACAGTCAGTTTGGAATATTCCCTTCAATGCTGAGCTCAATTAATTGTTTTCTATGATGGCCTCCTTCACTCCTAGATAAAAACAGAAAGACATGGGCTTCTCTGCTCTGTGTGGAGTTCTGTTCCAGAAGGGACCACTGTTATACGGTATCTGCAGAGAACTTTCAGTATGAAAATGACTACTCAGAACTCACAGCTGGTACAGAATGCAGTGGCTGGCCTGCTGATGGATGGGAGCAGTTCCTCCCAAATTCCACTGCAGACATTGCCACTGGGGTGATAGGCATCATCCAAAATGTTGGGTTTGACACTTATAGAACCCTAAATGGCTTGGGTCTGAGGTCCATTCAAGATTGCTTTCTCCAGTAGAACTGGTCTGTGTATACGCTCATCCTAGATGGGAACGTTGGAATTCCCACGACCCAAGAAGTGAGGTTAGTGGGGCCTGAGATACTGCTTCTTTGTTGTGCCCCCTCCCCCCAATCCTTTGGGATAGTCTTCTCCAGCAACCATTCTAGTCTTATTCCAGAAGACAGATGAGGGTTTTTGAAACCTGAAGTTGCCTTACATTAGTGGGTACCTCTAGGATGATTGTATTCATGTTTGTAGACAATGTTGAGGTTTTTTTGTATTATCTCTGTGGTTTTATTTGTATGGTTTTATGAGTTTTATGGTGGTAAAGCACACAAAGTCTTTGAATATTGGAAGCATAGAAATAACATGCCTATGCGATGTTATCCTGACATTGGGAGATACTGTATCTGGCCTCCCCGTTTTGTGCAAACATTACAGCCCTCCAGAGTGTCGCTGAGTTTTGTGGCAGCTGAAGTCTAGGCCAAATGCTATAAAAGAGAAATAAAATGTTAATCATAAAAGAGCCATTTTCTCTTGATTTTTTAGGGTGAGTTCAGTTTTTCTGAGGACATTCTTAATGGTGAACTGGCTAGAATTGTCTACAGAAATGCCACTGAAAAAATCAAAGGTAACCTATTACTTTTAACTTTTAAATCTTACGCACTTGTACATTGTTTCATTCTTCTTTTGCTTTTGAAAATGAGTATAGCTCATCTCAATTTTTTTAAATATTTGGTGCCTTCAAGTCATTTTTGACTCCCGGCAACTTCCTGGATTGGTTCCTGCAGTTTCCTTAGTCAGATTTCAGAAATGGTTTGCCATTGCCTTCTCCCTCAGGCTGAGAGAGAGTGACTGGGCCAAGGTCACCCAGCTGGTTTCATGTCTAATTGGAACTCATAGTTTCCCAGTTTTTAACCCTGTGGCTTAACCGCTACACCAAACAGCTCAATGATGCCTCCTTGATGCATTGAAACCTGGTCACCCAGAATGGTTGGTTAGATCAATTAGCTAGCCAGTTATCTACGAGTCCTAAAAATGCAGAAATTTATAAGTGAGCAAATACAGGTAGTCTTCGACTTACAACAGTTCATTTAGTGACAGTTCAAGTTACGACAGTACTGAAAAAAAATTACTTATGACCATTTTTCATACGACCCTTGCAGCATTATTCCCCATGGTCAGGGGTAGGCAACCTTGGCTCTTTTATGACTCGTGGACTTCAACTCCCAGAATCCCTGAGCCAGCATGGCTCAGCTTAGAAACCTCTCCCTTTCCCCTCAGCATGGCTGGCTCAGGAATTCTGGGAGTTGAAGTCCACGAGTCATAAAAGAGCCAAGGTTGCCTACCCCTGCCCATGGTCATGTGACTAAAATTCAGATGCTTGGCAACTGACTCATATTTATGATGGTCGCGGTGTCCCTGGGTCATGTGATCACCGTTTGCGACCTTCTGACAAGCAAAGTCGATGGGGAAGCCGGATTCATTTAACTAGAAGCCGGATTCATTTACTAACTTAACAACTGCGGTGATTCACTTTAGCAGCTGAGGCAAGAAAGGTCATAAAATGGGGCAAAGCTCATTGAACAACTGTCTCACTTAGCCACAGAAATTTAGGCTCAGTTGTGGTCATAAGTCAAGGACTACCTGTATTTTTTTTCAAGCATTGGGGAGATACCTTTTCACTATGCAACATTAGTGTAGGGTAAAACTGCTCTTGTTTCCTTTTATGGGTTTAGGATAGACAAGCTTCAGTTTTTTAAACTTTGATGTTCTTTGGGTCAATAAGCATATCTGGAATTTTAGAGTGTGTTATTGGTTGCTTACAAAGGGGCTAACACTGATGAGACTTGAAGACAAGTAATTGGCTAAGAAAATGAATAGGAGGAGCAGACAGAGTCTGAAGATGATAACTTGCATATTTGTTGTCACAAATTGCAACAGAATATTAAAAATAACAGAATAACAGAGTCGGAAGGGACCTTGGAGGTCTTCTAGTCCAACCCCTGCTCAGGTGGGAAACCTTATACCATTTCAGACAAATCGTTGTCTAATCTCTTCTTAAAAACTTCCTCTGTTGGAGCATCCACAACTTTTGGAGGCAAGCAGTTCCACTGATTAATTGTTCTAACTGTCAGGAAATCTCTCTTTAGTTCCAGGTTGCTTCTCTCCTTGATTAGTTTCCATCCGTTGCTTCTTGTCCTGGAGAGTAGGCTCACCCCCCTCTTCTTTGTGGTAGCCCCTGAAGTATTGGAACACTGCTATCATGTCACCCCCTAGTAGTCCTTCCTTTTGTTACATAAGAAATAAAAAATGATTGCTCGTTTAACATCTTGCTGGGGTAGCATTGCCATTTGTTTTTTTTTTCAAATACATTTTTCATATCAGTATCCACCATTCAAGGGCATCTAAAACTTTCATCCTTCCCCTTTTCCTCTGCAAAAATAATGAATCACTCACAAGCTGCCAGTAATGTGGAAAAGAGAGAAAGAGAGACAGATATAAGCATGATTTTAAGACATCAGGGATAAACTGAAATATAAAAAAGCAATATATTTGATGAAGAAACTTTAATGGAGATCAAATAGATTTAATGGATACTTAAAGGGAAATAAATATATGCTCAATAACATCCCAAAAAATGCTGATTTTAGAAAATGCTCACATGTTCAAGGATCATTTAAACTTGGGTATTTTTCATAGTCATATTGAATTTAATTTACAATCAAACTCAAAAGGTGATTTAATTTTAAAAAGTGAATTACACAATTACTTTGTAGAATTAAATCACCTATTTAGAAAAGAAAATCAACTTACTAACACTTGATTTACATATAAAGAAGAGATACATACCAATGTACCTGGGCAAAATATACACAGCAAACATACCCTAGATAACAATCATAGGGCCTGAATATTTTCTTGACAGTACGGCACGGGGAGTTTATTTTGCAACATGCCAGCACCCCATTTATGTTAGATGGGGCAAGGAGCCTGGGAATGTCAAAGGAAGTAGGGGTTACAATTAGGGGAGCTGCAATTTTGAATATGATACTTAGAGTATCCTGATTAATGTATCCTTCTTCATTATAGGTGCTGAGTTTGCACTATTGCTTTTGTCAATTGCAAAACGTTTTGATTTTACGCAAGATCTTCAAAAAGAAATTCTTGAAAAGTAAGTTTTGGGTGCGTTTTCCACTGTCTTAGCATTCAGTAACCATTATTCTATTGTGTGTTAGTCTACTCCAGTAGACTCTGCATGTTTAAGGTTTAGAATTATTTCAGCATATTCCAGAAGACAGGATTCGATTAATTGCATAAACTGGTCTCATTTTTGGTTTGGCTCTAGCAAAAACAAATCCTGTTTCTATTCAACTAGGATGCTGTAGTGCAGCGGTTCCCAACCTTTTGTATACCCCGAACCCGTAGAACGCTTCTGATATATTCTCGCACCCCTTACAAAAGTAATACATTTATTTAAACCAATTTTGAATGACGTGAACATAAACAATAATTTTTAAACTTGGAATATTGTCTCACACCCCGGTTGGGAACCCCTGCTCTAGTGCAAAGATGCAAGTGTTATTATTATCTTGACTCTGTTTTTAATTTATAAGATTTTAATATGTATTTAAAAATAAAATTATCGGATACTGGCAGTGGCTTACTTTTGGGCAGATTTTCATCTCTTTAGACTGCAGCCATTTTTCAGATTCCCTTTTTCTCTGGAAGGTTCAGCCAGGTGAGAACTGCAGCATCAGTGCCTTGTTTCCTTCTGGGGAAAATAGGTTAAAAGTGCCTGGGTGTGCTTTGAAGTATTCTGTTTCCAATCATGGTGCTCAGTTTTTAACTATGTACCTTTGATATTCTGGTGAATATCAGAATATTGACATTGTGAATGTTTTCTAATGCAGCTTTTTAAATGTAAGCTGCTTTCCAATCCTTGGAAACGAAGACAGGTTTAGCATACTGTAAAAAGGAAAATTTCTTCTAGACTAGGCGTTTATTAGCACAGCGTTGCTTTTAAACAGGTATCTAGCATCCTATGTAATTTGTTTTATTTATTTTTGTATATACATATATACTGCCCATCTTGCTATCCAAGATGGATAGCATCTGCCATTTATATCCGCAAACAGCAGAATATTCAGGCCACGATCAACTGCGTCAAAATATTTAATTGCCCACTTAATTGTCTGGCTTGGCACTGAGTGTTTGCCTTATGTGCCTGCATGATTTATGTGCCTTAAAAAATAATAGTAAGAAACACCATAATTTAGGAGCTGCTGTTCAGAAAAGAGCATGTTTCCTCCCCCCCTATTTTTATCTGTTTGTATTTATTTTTTATGGCATCCTGACTTTCACCTGGTAGCTCAACGTACTTTAGCTCACTTTGTTTATTTTTACAACAGTACAATGGTGAGATTTGTTGGGCTGAGACAGAAAGTAGATAAAATTATAAAATGAGTTCCGTGGACCTCCCAAGACTTTTCATTCCAGGTCCATGTCTTGGCTATGATTAAGACTGTGAGTACAATTGAGTATAAACAACTGATAAGCATAAATCTGCTTGGATTTATGGTATGCGGTCTCCATTGCACTAAAAAAAATGCCCTTGATCTTCATAACTATGTTGTGTCTGTAGGGGCTTTGGGTAGGAGATAACCGTTTTTTAGTGCTGGTGTTTACAAATTCCTTTTAAGCTTCTAGCATGGGAAAAGAAAATGTGTTATCTAACCCATTTCTTGTTGTGCCAAGTTTCCCATTTTCTAGGACGGGTGGGCAGCTATGGCCCCTTTACGACCTGTGGATTTCAGCTCCCAGAATTCCTGAGCCAGCCATCAATTCTCGAGAGTTGAAGTCCACAGGTCATAAAGGGGACATATTGTCCACTCCTGTTCTAGGAGGTATATGCATATTTTAACACAGTGAGCTTGTAAATGGGACTGCTACCATTCTGTAGTGGTATAATTCTAATTTAAAACACAGAAGCAGGAACACATCCTTCCCAGATCACCTGGCTAGGCTTGTGTAGAGCACAGGGTAGTATTCTGAAGTACTTCTGAATATCTAAAACACTTCTGGCTGAAGGCATTCCTGTTTCTATGCACACTGTGTGAGTTCTACTAGCGTAAGCAAAATGTTCCCGCTTATGGTTGCTTACCTTTTATGGAACAAAAGCACTCGCAATTACGCCAGAGCTTTATAGGAAGGGAGTCACTCATAGCTAATAGCATAACGCAACTTTTTTTTTAGCTTGCAGGCAACGTATGACAACGATCCTCTTGTGTGGGATTTCATGGCACGGCGGGAACTGGAGATGGAATCCCTGCCTTCTTCAGAACAGCCTAAGTCGAAACAGTCAAAGGCTTTAGAGGTTGCCTCCAAAGAAGAACGGTGTTGTGCTGTATTTGAGGAGGCAGTCACACACCTTCCCACTGGTTAGATTTTTTTTTTCCCCTGGATATTAAAACTTGCTTGTTTTCCTCTAATTCTTATAACTGAGTTTCTGAGTTCATTCTGAAGCTGTGGACTTGAGAAGGGCAAATACTTGCCCCCAAAGCCTGTCTCATATACTTGGGGTTATTGTCCACATTTCCCACAGCGAAGGTGGCTATTTATTTTTATGTGAACTAATATTGAAAAACCTGTGTTCAGTTCACGGGGTTCAGTTCCAACAAGCAGCAGATGGAAATAGTCAGTAGTCAGGCCGAGTGCTATTACCGTTGATCCCAGGGACAAATAAATGAACATTCTTTTATATAGAAAACCACAACCTTCCACAGAGAAAGTTTCTAGATGAAGGATTGAGATGACTCGTCACTTTGATTTGGTCTCCTAGATTTTTATGAAAGAGCGCGTTTTTCTAAGGCAACTTGTTATTGTACAAACCTTTAGCTTCAGTGTGAAATGTGTACAGGTAGTCCTCGACTTACAGCCATTTATTTAGTGACTGTTCAAAGCTACAGTGGCGTTGAAAAAAGTAACTTATGACTGGTTTCACACTTACGACCATTAGGGCATCCCAATGCTTGGTAACTGACTCATATTAGATGCCTGGTAACTGACTCATATTTATGATGGTTGCAGTGTAATGGCGACATGTGATCAGCCAGATTCTCTTTACAAGTGGGTTACTACCGTAACTTAACTGCAGCGATTTACTTAACCACTGTGGCAAGAAAGGACATATAATGGGGCAAAACTCGCTTAATGACTGTTTCACTTAGCATTGGAAATTTTGGGCTCAGTTGTGGTTGTAAGTCGAGGACTACCTCTCCTGCAAAATGATTTCAGCTCCCCTCCACTGTCTTTGGGAACTAAGCTGGAATTTCAGCAGGTGCCCAATACCTAATTAGCATTTATCTAAGAAGGACTGTGGATAAGAACTTTCCACCCATGTCTGTGCTTGTGCACAAAGTGCTTATTTGGCATCTCCTACCATCGGCCCTTTGAGGTGGTCCGGACTAAGAAGCACAATCCCTTTATTTTGTAAGATTACGGTAACAATGCTACAAGTCTGAAAAGACCTCTCCTCTCCTTTATTTTTACTTTTCAGAAACTTAGGGAGGCTCCCTTCCTAAACATTTTCCACACCTCTTTTCTTTCTGGGGCTACCTTTTGCAGGCTGGCTCTCCCTGTCATTAAGCCTGCAAACGGCTTTATTTCAATTTTGTACTAATTGAGCCCATCTAGCAAAGGGCTCCACCTTTTTTCCTACTAAACTCAAATTCAAATGTTGTGCCACCCATTTCTAATGTAGTCTGGCAGTGAAATGAGAAGGAACATGAGGAGGATATGCCAGTTTGCGCCCTTAACAGTTTCTTTGTCATACTTAGATATTGTCTCTCAGTCCAAGTCAACTGCATGTGATTCCTGCAACAAAGCTTAGTGGGCTTTGTATGCTGACTTATGAGGAAGACGCAGAGCACCACAGCGCCCCCTTGAGGCTTAATGTGATAATGCCACAGCAGAACTGGTGCGGACTTGAAAGAGATTATTACTCAGAAGTTAGACTCTGCTTCATAGATGCAAGTAAACTTGACTTCTGTTTTCAGAAGAAATAACAAATGTTTTGAATTCTGCAGAGGAAATGTGGAAATGTTATGTCGCGTTTACCTTGGAAAGACGTAACCGGAAGACCAACAGTGAAGAATTAAGGCAAAAGGTAAAAATGCTTTGCCTTTGGAATAATACAGGTTTCTTCTGTTACTGATACTGCTTTCCCACGGAGGGATGTCACTGGCAAGTCCCTCAGTTTGCAGCCCGAAAAAGCCTTTAGAAAATTGATTTATTGGATAGAATATTAAGGTTTATTAAGAAAGTGAAGTAAACAAAGATCTGAATATGTGCGGCTTCGATTTGTATAGTTTGCCTGTGTTTATCTGTCCTTATGATTTTAGCGAGGCATTGTCAGAATTGCCATCTGACGCCTGTGCCATATGCCTGTGCAGGATGGACAGGCATATTCTGACCTACCTTCCCCATTCTGATTACTCAATAATATAGTCCTTCACTTAAATAGATATTTAGTCTTATCTTAAGAACTTATTTGGTTGGCTCCTAATTTCAAAGGCTGGACTGCAAAATGACTAATTTGTGCCAAAATCAAAAGGAAGTAAAATTTTGGATATATGTCCTTTGTGATAAATAGCTACTTGGGTTTTGTTTTTGTTTTTAAAAAAGATAGGAAGCTTTTGTGAAGAATCTTTGTGATATACAGTAATATTTATTATAATAAAGATAAGATAAGCTGAGATAACGAGAGTCAGTTTGGTCTAGTGGTTAAGGCATCAGGCTAGAATGTGGGAGACTTGAGTTCAAGTCCTGCCTTAGCCATGAAAGCCAGCTTTGGGCTAGTGCCAGGAGTAGGCAACCTTGGCTCTGTTGTGACTCGTGGACTTCAACTCCCAGAATTCCTGAGCCAGCCATGCTGAGGGGAAAGGGAGAGGTTTCTAAGCTGAGCCATGCTGGCTCAGGAATTCTGGGAGTTGAGGTCCACGAGTCATAATAGAGCCAAGGTTGCCTACCCCTGGCCTAGTCACTCACTCTCAGTTGTTGTTATGGGGAAAATAGGAGGAGGAAGAAGTATTACATGGTTGCCATGTTTATAAAAAATAAAGGCAGGATACAAATGAAACAAATAAATTAATATTTTAAATTTTGCATTATAACATTTTACAAGTGCTGGGAACTTTAAAAAGTGAGGCCGGCGCCCATGCCCTTTTGCCAGACGTTGGCTTCGCCTTTTAAGTTTTAATCTGGGAATGCATCTTTGACAGAAGACTGCAGAAGAGACCCTGTGGAACTGAAACCTACATAGAATATTAAAGTAGTAGACTTGGATTCTCTTGTTTTTAGTTCAGCTTGTGATGCAATTATAGATGTAACATGTAAGCATTCAGTTGTTGGCTGCTTGGCAGAAAGGCTGAACAGTCTTTTCAGTCCTGAGGGTGACATGTAATAATAAATAGTGTAGATTGCTATTGATCTGGGCAAAGATTCATGTCTAGTACTGCGCCTACACTTCTCAAGTTCAAGGGAGTATGGAGAGGAGGCCATGGCTGCAGCAGTAGTGAGGAAGAGAATTTGCATTGAGAAGACACAGCAGAGGGTTGCAAAAGAGCACTTCCTTGGCAACATAAAAGATTGTGGGTTATGTGGCTCGTGCGGCAAAATCTTACATTGTGTGGTATGCTTGTACAGGGTTTGAGCTTCAGCCAGGTAAGCCAGTTTTCAGAATCTCCGAATTTTCATCCTTTCAATTTTCCCCTTCTTTTCCCATCAAGTCAGTTCAACATTCATTGTTCCCTAAGGAGACTGATTTGATCGGCCTGGTGGGTGGAAGATTGTTTCCCTTAATTTTTAAAAAAACTTTTTGTTGGTATTGGTCCAGTCCTTGAAATTCTCCCAAACCCGGTGCTTTTTTCCTTTGGTGCCATAAATAATATCATTTGACTATACATGGTTCCGGAAAATTTAGTCACTAGTACTCAGGATCGTGACTTCAAAAGCTCGGTGATATTTTATGAAGACTCATTTGTACAGCAGTACAAGTTTTTTTTTTTTATTACTCCTTCCCTCTTGTTTCAGAGACTGGAAAGGGCACTGAGTGTTTTCAGCCGAGCTCATGACTCACAACTTCTGCCAGCTTCTCTCTATAAACAGTGGGTAAGGAAGGATGTGGTCCTTGCACTTGAAAAGCTCCCACTCGCACAAACCGGAAAGGGTGGGTTTGGAGCTTAGAAGTTCATTCCTGAAAGCAGCCATTCGGTGCTTATTTTGTTTGTGTGGCATCTTTTCAGATTCAGCTCCTGCTGGAACTCAGTCATGAAGACAAGGCCAGGGAGGTGGCAGCGGCAGCCACAAACCGTTTCAGCCAATTGGTGGATATGTGGGAAATGAGGTTGCAATTGCTGCTGAATCTGAAGAGCAGTGAAGTGGCTGCTTGTGCCCAGGAGGCTTTCAAAGTGGTTAAAGCTAAGGTGGGAACTCTCTTCTGAACTTAGGTTGTGTGAATGAATACTTGGAGCCTGGGAGTTATCTGAAACTAGTAACGGTAACATATTATTGAGTCATTGACCAGCAATGTTTACCAAATATACAACGCAAAAGTCAAATCAAGTGGGTGAGGTAGAATGCCATCCAAGCAAGGAGTCTTGTTAATAAAAATGCAACACAAGCTACTAAAATAACGTGTCTTAATAAACTGCAAGTCTAAAAAAACTACACTCTATGAAGTAAAAATGTATACAATTAGTCCTTGTTTACTGACTGCCTCATTTAGTGACTATTCAAAGATATGGTAGTTGGAAAAAAAAAAGCTTTGCAATGAATCCACACATCTTTACTGTCCTGCTGTCACATGATTGCCATTCAGACAGTTCACAACTAGCTTCCAATGCGCAAAATTAGCGGAGAATGTGGAAGTGAAATTGCAAGGTGTGATCATGTGATATCTTGCTTAATGACCAATGTGATTTGCAGAAAGTCCAAATGGGAAGTAAGGTCATAAGCCATTATGGTCATATGGTTTCCCTTAACAACTACAGTGCTTAGTGATAGAGTTGCCACTCCCAATTGTGGTCAGTAAACAAGGACTGTCTGTATGGCCTAAAACAGAGTAACTAACACAATTGCAGGATCTGCTTAGGGATCTGAAATGCTCTCTCCATTCATAAGGTCAACTTGAGGGATCAACTTGGCACTGTCAAAAAGTCACTGACAGTTAGAACAGTTAACCAGTGGAACAACCTGCCTCCAGAAGTGGTGAATGCTCCAATACTGGAAGTTTTTAAGAAGAGACTGGACAGTCATTTGTCTGAAATGGTATAGGGTTTCCTGCCTGAGCAGGGGTTGGACTAGATGACTTCCAAGGTCCCTTCCAACTTTATTATTATTATTATTATTATTATTATTATTATTATTATTATTATTATTATTATTATTATTATTATTATTATTATTATCTTCTCGGGAAAGATGAATGGGGCAATTGGCAGTACTCCTGGCAGAGGCAATGAAAGAACTTTTTAAATCTGCTTCTTGCACTTAATAGTAAGTAACAAAGGGCCATCCCTAGTGGGCCTGTATGAGTACTTGCTTACCCATCGTCCATAGGACGATGAGCACTTGACATTAGGGATATGGCATTCCATTGTGGTAACACCTTCCAGTACTATTGCAATTGCATTCTCCACACCCCTTATATTTTAAAGATCCCAGAGACAAACCATGCAGCTATGAAAATGACACTCGGTTATTTTCTGAATTCCCCTATTTTTCCTTTGTAAGCTTTTTGCATTGCCTGCACAATGCAGGACTTCACCTACTTAGTCTGGTCCCTTTCTATAGACAGGAGGCTCCTTAATTTCATCAATATATTTTTTGCTAGACTATTTCAGGAATTCCAGTGTCTTTCAATTTGCCTGCAGGTATTTTATACAACTCACATCCAATATTTTCTTCTGTTTTTTTGTTATTCCTCCTTGTAGGACACCTTGCCAATATGGACTTTATGGCTAGAATGGAGTGAAGGTGCCAGTAGCAAAGCCGAGACTGAAGCCCTCTATCAGGTATCATATATTCCATTAAAAAATGAATCATACTGTGAGATTAAATTTGGAAAAGAGAGTAAGAATGTTTCCACTATTATTTTAAAAATTAATTTTAGAACTAATGATAACCTGTGCATTAAAAATAAATAAATTGTAGGATAAAAACCTATCAGTAGTCAATGAGGCTGTTATAATTCTGCAAATATTTTGCTGAAAATATATACACGTAGTTCTCAACTTACAATCATTTGTTTAGTGACCGTTAAAAGTCATAACGGCACTGAAAAAAGTGACTTATGACTGTTTTTCAACCTTACAACCCTCGCGGCATCCCCATGATAATCAGACTTCAGACACTGGGCACCTGGCATATATTTATGATGGTTGCAGTGTCCTGAGGTCATGTGATCACTTTTTGCAACCTGACAAGCACAGTCAATGAGGGAGCCAGATTCACTTAACGACTGTCTTACGAACTTAACACCTACGGTAATTCACTTAACAACTGTGGCAAGAAAGGCTGTAAAACGGGGCAATTAACAATTGTCACTTAACAATTGCCTTGCTTAGCAACAAAAAGTTTGGGCTCAATTGTGATCGTTAAGTCGAGGACTATCTATATGTAATTCAGAAATAGAAACATAGGCTTCATTAACAAAAAAAGTGGAAATTTAGGATAAAATACACCATTTTGGTGTGATGATTAAGGCACCAGGCTAGAAGCCAGGAGACTGTGAGTTCTAGTCTCACTTTAGGCACGAGAAGCATCCGAGTGACTTTGGGCCAGTCACTCACTTGCAGTCCAATTTACCTCACATGATTTTTGTTGTAGTTGTGGAGAAACTAGGAGGAGGAAGGAGCATTAGGAACAGTTGTACGCCTTGAGTTATTTATCAAAAAGAACAAAAAGGTTTATATATATACCCTGAAATGGAGTAAACAAAACATATCGAAACACAGTCTTTAATTACAAATGAAAAGTTTCAGAAATATTGTTGTGTTCAGTTAACAAGGATAATTAGGGCCAGAATTTCCATTGCTAAGCAGTTCAGTCGTAAACCATGATGTCACCTGACCATGCCACTCAGCGATGCAATATTTCTGGTCAACGTTAGATGAATCCCAAGCCATTGTTAAGTGCAATGTCATGTGGTTGCCACTTGTGACCTGCTGGCTTCCCCATTGACTTTGCTTGTTGGAAACTGGTAGTGAAAGTTGCAAATAGCAGACACATGACCATGGAATGCCACAATGTTGTAATTGCAAGCTGATTATCAAGTACCTGGATCTCAGTCATATGACCACAAGGATTCTGAGACAGCTGCAGTTACAAGGACCTGCCGTAAGTTCCCCTCATTCTGCATCATTGTAACTTCAAAAGGACACTGAATGAGTGGTTCTTAAGCAAGGACTAGTTGTAGACTGTCCAGAGTAGGTTTACTGAAATGTATGAATAGGAGATTGCCAGATTGATGTATATTTTCTAGCTTAGTGGCCCCCAACCCTTTGGGAATCAGGGACCGGTTCCATGGAGAGGAGCTTTTCCGCAGACCAGAGGGGGCGTGGTTTCATGTGCTGCCTGCATCCCGCGGATGGAGCTACGCTTGTTTGGGTGGACCATTTTCTGGCATGTCACTGTCCGGTGCCGGTCCAAGGACCGAGGGTTGGGGACCCCTGCTCTAGCTGAGTCAATAGATCCAATTTGGTGTGGGTAATTATCACAAAGAACAAAGTAACCTATCTTCTTGACTTTAGTTTTAAAGTCCACCGTGGATGCTTAAAAGCTTTGTGTCATTTAATGGACTTCACAATCATTTACATTTAACCGACAGAGATCTTTCCTTGCCACACTTCCTGCTGACTCCATAGCCTTGAAAGAAAAGTACCTTGAGTGGGCTCACAGGACCGGTGGCTATAAGAAAGCAAAGCAAGTCTTCACCAGGTTAGTATATCTCCTTTTTCAATTAAAGATTTTATTGGATTTTCTCTTACATGCATATGTTAATTTTTCAACCAACGAGCTGTCTGGAATCAACAATGCTAATACATATTCCATTCCTAATCCTTCATTCTTTCTTCTAGCCAATAGTAGAATAAGTCCCAAGTTTGATAGTAGTCTGTATCTTCTTTATCCTTCAATTTCAAAGTTAATCTATCCATCTCCGCGCATTCCAATATTTTTCTGATTATTTCTTCTTCTGGTGGTAGTACTTCATTTTTTCCAATATTGCACAAAAGTTATTCTTGCTGCTGTGATGACGTGTAAAATCAAATATAGGCTTTGTTTGTTAATCTTTTCAGGCATTATACCTAACAAGAAAAGTTCAGGTTTGAAATCAACATGTTTTTCTAACCAGGCATGTATATTTTTCCAATAGGTCTTTGCTTTGCTACATGTCCACCAAATGTGATAATACGTGCCTGGATTATGCTTACATTTCCAACATCTATCTGACATAGTTTTAAACATTTTTGCTAATCTTGCCGGTGGCAAGTGCCATCTATGAAACATTTGATATAAATTTTCTTTATACGAAGTTGCCATTGTTAACTTATAGTTTCTCTCCCATAATTTTTGCTAGTTTTCTAATTCTATATTGTAACCAACGTTTTTTGCCCATCTAATCATTGTTTCTTTAACGTGTTCACTTTCCATTTCCAAAATTAACAAAAAGTTATACATTTTCTTGATTAATTTCTCATCTGAGATTAACAAAATCTTACCAAATACAGTTTGTTCTTTATAAAACCCATGCATTTTCACGTCTTTTTCATATCTATTTTGCATCTGTAAATGTGTCCACCACGACAGGTTGATACCCTGATTTTCCAGTTCTTGTTTAGATTTTAAATATCTCCTTTTTATAGCATTATTCAATCACTTTTTTATATACCCCTCCACCCCTATTTGTTATTAAAATCAGGTGCCTTACCCCATTACTTCTCTCCTAGGCTGCAGGAGTGCCGCCCATTTTCACTCCAGTTCTTCAAAAAAATGATTCAGATTGAAAAGGAACAAGTAAGTAAAGAAGTATTATAAAGTGCAGGGATCCATTTCTTGGTTGTGTTAGTAATTATGGAGTATATTATTCCCTCAGGTACCATGCACGTTAATTTTTGTATGGTTGCATTTATTTTTATTTTCAATTTGTTTACCACTCAGTCTCACTTAAATGAATAACAGCAATATTTGTGGAAATATTTACCGATTGTTTGATAAAACAAACAAATGAATAGTGTCAATATTTGTAGAGGTATTTACCAATGTGAGGTTTCTAATGGAATCAGTGCTTTTTATTTTGTAAAGTATGCTCTGTTAGAACTGGGCCACAGTAAAATACTTCAGCTGATTTTAAAAGCCACCTAGAAATAGTAATCCTTAATGTTGTAGGCAGATTATTGGCACATGGCCAGTTTCTTCAAAATCCTAGCCATCGTTGGTGTTCTTAAACTTATTAACGGAAAGGGTGAGGTTGACCTCTGGATTTTCTAGATCAGTGATGGCAAACCTTTTAGAGACCGAGTGCCCAAGCTGCAACCCAAAACCCACTTATGCATTGTCGGGTGCCGGGTGGGTGTGGCCCATTGGATGGGCGTGGCTGCAGTGGTAACAGCAGACTGGGTGGGACTGAAAAGTTCAATCAATCAATTCCAACTGTGCAAGATCTTTTTTTTTCCCGCGAGAAGTTGAAATTGACAGATTGATTGAACTGTTGTTTTTTTTGCACACGACAGTGGAGGCCTAAAGCGAAAAGGTTTTATAAAACCCAGCTGCAGGCCTAGGACTGGGGTGACAGCGCGCGTGCCCACAGAGAGGGCTCTGAGTGCCGCCTCTGGCACCCGTGCCATAGGTTCGCCACCACGGCTCTAGATATTCCCAAACTACAGTTAAGAAGTCCAGTGCCGGCTGTTACTGCTGGGAATTGTAAATCAGCAACATTGGAAAGATCGTAAACTTCTCATTTTTGTTTTAATGCATTACATGTCTTAAGAACGGAAAGTCACTTACATTATTATGTTTCATACACACTGATTATAGTGGTCGTCTCGGGTGGATGTCAGCATGTCTTTTGTGTGAACTCTCTGGAGTTTAATATAGTACTCTCCTTCAATGAGAGAAGCTGAAACTCCTACACCTTTTGGTCCTGATGCTGCAGCTATAGGCCGGTCAGGCTCCAAAACCAAGATAGAGATGCAGAATTATTTCTAAACAGTTCTCGTTATTGTTCCTTGCCTATAGACAGAAATCTTGCCAAACTAAAGCAATTACTTGCATTATTAAAGATATACTTTCAAAGTATACTCTGAGAATTTCTAACTCTCTTTCTCCCAACTGAACTGTCTAAACTGGCTGTCTTTTTGGTCCTCTGGAATGCACCCATTTCCTCCAGGGAATCTGGAGTACATTCCACCACAAGGACTGGATCCCACAAAGGGCTCAGAGGAAGACAGTACTGTAGCCAGCCGAGACCACAGAGAAAACCAATAGGGCCTTTGAAACTGCTGCCTTCTCTTGCCCTTTCTTGCTGTGCTTCAAGAGCAGCACAGTCAGGACGATTCCGCTCTCACTTCCAGAAGTCTATTCCTGTGCCTGGATTGTTTGCATGCAAACTGCTCCTAGGAGTTGGGAAGGAATGCCCCAGTCAGAGCATCTGCAGCATCTGCAAGATTTCCTGACAGCTAGAACAATTAATCAGTGGAACTACTCACTTCCAGAAGTTGTGGGTGCTCCAACACTGGAAGTTTTTAAGAAGAGATTGGACAGCCATTTGTTTGAAATGGTATAGGGTTTCCTGCCTGAGCAGAGGGTTGGACTAGAAGACCTCCATGGTCCCTTCCAGTTGTTATTCTGTTATGTCACCATGTTGGTATGCATCTAGAAAAGGAGTCTACCATCTTGTTCATTTTGACAGTCCCCACCCCTGGACGCTCTTGGACACAGCATTACGTACCAGTTTCTGCTTGCCAATTCATTCCTCAGGTTGTAAGATTGGGTTTTCTGGCCCTTTGGATGACCATGACTTCTTGTTTTAAGACCAAAGGCCTGGCAGGAAGCCCCTGTCTCTCTTAGTCCCAAGATAGCCCCCTACCCCTCCCTTTGTTTCATGTTCAGGTCTGATTAGAATGAAAGAGGCTAAGCTTGAAGTGAAGGAATGGGAGACACATCTATGATTGTGGTGTAGTGAAGAAAGGCAAAAAAAAAAAAAAAGAAGAACCAAAAGATATTAATGACTGAAGGGCAGGAAACAAAAGTTCTTCACAGCTTATTCATTTAGTAAACAGTGAGACCCCTATTTGAGTTACAGGCAGTCCTCCACTTGCGACCATTTGTTTAACAAATTTGTTTTAAAACTTTCAACGGCACCGAAAAAGGTGACTTACGCCAGTCCCTTACACTTATGACTGTTGCAGCATCCCTGCGGTCATGTGATCAAAATTTGGTTGCTTGGCAACCAGCATGTATTTATGACAGTTGCATCCATTTGCAACCTTCTCAGGGGTCTTCTGACAAGCAGTCAGTGGAGGAAGCCAGACTCGCTTAATGACCACCTGATTTGCTTAATGCCCATGGCAAAAAAGGTTGTAAAATTGGGTGCGACTCACTTAACAATTGCATTACTTAGCAGACATTCCCAATTGTGGTGACTTAAGTTGAGATTACCTGTACTTGTAAGAGGACGTTGTACAGGGTGAAGTGTGTTAATAGGGAAAAGGTTGCAGAGAACTACTCCTGTCCAGAGTTGTTAATCCTGTATAATGTCCATTAGCAATAGCAATCTTAGACTTACATATCACTTCACAGTGCTTTGCAGTCCTCTGTAAGCAGTTTCCAGAGCCAGCATATTGCCCCCAACAATCCGGGTCCTCCTTTTATCGACCTTGGATGGAAAGCTGAGTCAACCTTGAGGCAGTCTGGATTGAACTCTTGGCAGTGAGCAGTGAGTTCGCCTGCAGTACTGCATTCTAACCACTGCGCGCACCACAGCTCTGTATTCATATCAATTCAGTTTCATCTTCACTTCCTTGTCAGCATCAAGGTGAGAGAGCGAGGAGTAAGACTCAGCTTCTCTCTTATGTACTATGTATTATTTTGTAAGATTGCCCAAAAAAGATTTATGTATGAAGGCTGCCTAAAGTTTCAGAAGATGATTGAGATTGCATGACAAATTATATTTTACTTTATCACTGTGTGTTAAGTTCAGCATGGTAACCACCCACCTTTTTTTTTTAAAAAAAGGAATCCAGTAAAATATTTAACATCCGAGAATATTATGAACGTGCCTTGAGAGAATTTGGTGCTACAGAGCCTGGTAAGAATTTTTTACTTGTCGGTTTCCAAGACTACTCAGTTGTCTTTCTGTTATAGCTGTGGCAATCACCTGATTCTTTCTGCTAAAGCAGGCATGTCAAACTCGCAACGTCATGTGATGTCGCATGACGTATCGGGACTTTTTCCCCATTGCCGGCAATGGGGTGGGTGCGGTTTTGGTGTGACGCATCCAGCCCATGGGCCGGCAGTTTGACATGCCTGTGCTAAAGAATACCAAATCTTTCAATGAACCAAGCAGAGCTTATTGTGGCAGTTGCTGATTTTTCTTTCTGTCTGTCTTGGAATTCTACGGAATACTGTGTAGTTAAAACATTCCATCAAATTTGTATTTTATTCTATTTGAAATCTTAAAATAATGTTTAAAAATTAAGATAACTAGACAAGACTACATAAAAATGTGCATAAAAAGAAAAAAAACCAAATTCTATACATCAGGGGTGTCAAACTTGCAACGTCATGTGACGTGTCGTGACTTTTTTTCCATTGCCGGCAATGGGGTGGGTGATCTACCATAAGTCACCATATTCATTGTCTCTGATCCATCCAGGATTATTCTACAGAATACAGTGTAGTTGCAACATTCTAATCAAATACATAGGCCAGAGGTAGGCAACCTTGGCTCTTTTATGACTCGTGGACTTCAACTCCCAGAATTCCTGAGCCAGCATGGCTCAGCTTGGAAACTTCTCCCTTTTCCCTCAGCATGGCTGGCTCAGGAATTCTGGGAGTTGAAGTCCACGAGTCACAAAAGAGCCAGGGTTGCTTACCCCTGACATAGGCAATATGTTTTTGGCACCAGGGAATTCCCTCTTTTGTAGCATTTTCATTATTACAGTATTAACTATGCTTTTTTTTATTGAAGATCTTTGGCTGGATTATATCAAAGAAGAGCTGAATCATTCTCAAGGCAAACCAGAGAATTGTGGCAGTATCCACTGGAGAGCTATGAAAACATTGCAGGGAGAACAAGTGGAAACATTTATTTCAAAGTATACATTGCTGCAAGCTGGGCACCTGTGAAAAAAAATTTTTTTCATTCTAATGGCAAATTAATCTGTTTGTTAGTCTACAACTATGGAAACTCTTGGGTTTTATTTGAGTCAAATGTATAATGAATGTTCCCTGGATAAATTACTTTACTTGCTACTAAATAATTGCCTACCATCCATATTCTCTCCATGTTACTGGATTTAACAGAAATGTAGCAGTTTTGGATTTTAATTAATATACGTATAAATATACTTTCAGGGAAAGTGGAAAAACAAACTTAATTTAGAGTTTATTTTGCTACTGTTTCATGATAGGGCCTATTTATATTTTATATATATTTTATATTTTATATAACAGAATTGGATTTCATTCTGGCTAGTGAATAGAAATTAATTGTCTGCCAAGCAAATGTAAATAGTCACATACAGATTGTTCCAGGAACAACTAGTTTGGGGTGGTTTATGTAAAAAGCAAAACATGCAAACGGATGCAAACTGAAATGTAGTTGTTCTAGGGCAGGGGTGTCAAACTCAATTTAATTGAGGGCCGCATCAGCATTGCGGTTGTCCTCGGGGGGGGTGGGTAGGTGTGGCCAGGGTGGGCAGGCCTACTGGATGGGCGTGGCTGGAGTGGGTGTGGCCTACTGGGGGGGCATGGCGAGCTCTACATCGTTTGCGTCAAGGGTGCCTGTGGGGGCCTGGACAGGAGTGGGACAGATCTGAGGGTCTCTGGCAGAAGGGGGTGGGACCAGGGCAAGCGCCAAAGCATGGTCTACTGGAAGAGCCTGCCGAAACCCCTCCCCCGGAGCCCATCAAGCCAGATATGTGAATTAGGTGAGGGCCATTTGCTGGCCACTTCCAGGCAATGGTGCATTTCTTCATTCCTCGCAAAGGGCGACACCTCCCCAGCGCGCGCCCAGGGGGCGGGGCCAATGTCGCAGGGGCTGGTTCCTTGTTGTTTCCAGACGGCCTTGTGGAGCTAAGACTGAATGCGTTTCAGCATAGATGGCCACCACAAAATTATACATTGGCTCCTGGGCGGCCAGGGCCGGGGCCAAGGCAGCAGGGGCCATTCCCTGTTTCCAGGATGGCTTCGCGGGCCACATGAAACCACATCGCGGGCCGCATCTGGCTCCTGGGCCTTGTGTTTGACATGTCTATTCTAGGGCCTATGCAAAAGTATTTTGGTGCATATGGGAGGGAGGGGGAGAGAACAGAAAAAAAGCCTTAGTGAAGTTAGGCTAACTTCTACCAAGTTAGGCACATTTCTTTTTTTAAAAAAATGAATCCATACTCATTATGTAAAGATTCAAAATAAAAAAACTGAATATGTCAAGTACAAAAGTTTGGACATCATCTCTTCTGTCTAGGTTGGGCATTTCAGCCACACAACAATCTGAAGCATTTCCAAAGCAACCAGCAAAGCCTTATAGAAAATAAATACACAGACTTAACTATTATTTCAAGACTGAAGGGAGGTCTCAAATATGCAATTCGTGGAAGGAGACCTATGCAGGGTTTTGCACGGGAGAATGGGAAAAAATTAAGCAAGAATAACTGTAGAAAATATTTAGTGAGGGGATGGTATAAAGTGATGACTTAAAAGTGGGTCTCTAAACTTTACTCTTGGATATCTCTCAGAAGTTCTTTTACCTAATCAGAATCTGCCTAGAACTAAAAGAGATCATCATTTGAATGCATTCCAATTGCTATGACTAACCAAGGTCTGGAGTAAATTTACCAATCAGAAACCTGGAAGAAAAATGGAGAAGTGATAATAAGTTAAAGTCATCCATTTAAACATATATTTCATATAATGTGAACACTCAGACATTCCTTCTGGCTGACATTAGTAATGTGAAATTTGAGAGATGTCTTCTTCCAGTTGATAACATAAGGATGCACATAAGAGCATCATCAAAAGAACAAGCTGCTACCAATGTTTTTTTTCCTTCACAGCAGAATCAAAATGATTTAAGAGCTTTTTGTTTTGTTTTTTTTAATTAATGAACAATCTTCACAAGCTGTTATCATCAGGCAATTAGTGAATGATCAGTACTAGAAAACCCATGCCCCATTGCATCACTGTTTCAGAGATATTTCCTTATCTAAACAGAAACAGAATGACCCAAGAGTAGGGGGGGGAAAAGCAATGGGAGCAAGAGTGATTTCCTCATTGAATTTCCTTGTGGGAATCAGGTAGGGAGCATTCTTCCCTTACCTTTCCAGCAGGCAGGTAAGTAGCTGCTCTGGGTGGGGGAGGCAGCGAGGGATTGCAAGGCTGGCTGGGAAACTGTTAATGGCAAATGGAGATCATGTGACCACAGCAGCAGTGCAGCAACAGCACGGAAGCAGTCCCAGCTTTCTCAAATTTCATTCTCCTAGGAATCATGGGTCCCAGATTCTGGACACATTCTGTAAATTAGCTCATTTGAGGTACCTTGGTTCCAAACTTTTTGCCCTATGATGCACTGTTTCATCCAGTTAAAGGTCACGATAATGGGTTTTAGTAGTATATAGATTATCAAACCTACAGTTTTATTTAACTGTATTCACACATCACAAAGCAAGAATCAAACCATTGTGGCTTAATGCAGTTTGTAACTTAGTGGCTGAGTTCATACTTTGGGTTAAGCTTTAACTGCAAAACACCCCCAAATAACTAGATTTTTGAAACACCACCAAAAATCACCTTTTACCTTAGCATGATGGATAAATTCAACTTATAACCCCTTTTGTGCATCTGAAAGGGCTAGTTGAAAGAGCTAGCTAGGTAGTTTCTGTTAGGATAGACTTCTAATAGCATACAACCTTGATCTGGGAAGTCAAATGGCCCTCAGAAGCAGTTGGGCTTATGCTCTGATATCTTGTGACCTGGTTTATAGTTTACTGAGGTCATATTATAACAACCAATCTAGTCAAAGATATCTATATATGAGAATATGGTTTATTACTAAGAAATAAAGGCAATTTCTTGCCTAAAATTTCTGAATCTCTTGATGTGCAGTTCCTTGAATTATTTCCTTATTCTTGATTTCTACCCCTGATCAATTATTTGTGAAAAGATTTGACATTAGTAATCAAGATTAAACTGAGATGTCTATGAGGTAAATGGCTAACACAACCAAGATTTGGGCCAGGAAAACCTAGATTTTTATGTTGGGGGAGACTTCAGAATGTTAACGTCAGAAACTTGTTTTCAATGTCAGGGTTCACCTTTGAAAAATGAGCATTTCTAAGTATTAAATAATTTATTCAACTTGGTGTCACTGAACTCCAGACTGATTTTGGGCAGCTTACAATCCAAGGAAATATAAAAACCATTCGCATAAACAGCAAGCAGAAGATGAATCTGGGCCACACATGAAACAAATATCAGGCATCCAGCAGAGATCCAATTGCCCTAGCCTAGCCTAACATAACATAAAAGGGCATTTGTTGTTGTTGTCCTGTTTGAGGAAGCACAGCTGGCACCAGATTTTATTGGGCTTGGTTCACCTTGAAATCAAAGATCCCTGGATGGAGTTTACGGGTAACTCCAAGGAATGGGGATTTTCATCAAAACTAACATTTTCTCTTTAGCCAAGGTAGTCTCCCATAAGTAATGGAAAGGTGGGGGTGCATAAAATGAAGTTTAACCTTGCTTCCCTGGCTTTCTTCAACAGCAGAAATCTGGTTTAGCGTTGACCCCCATTTGCATACCTTTCCAATATTGGCAGTCTTAAAAGGCAGGTTTTAAATGTTGGCATGACCAGCCATCAACGTTCAGGGGATGATACCATTCCTTTGCCTGTATTCATTGTTTAGAAGAGGGGGTTTCAATTAACAAACCTTTCCTCCCAAAATCCTCTCAACCATTAAAAGTTTTTGAATGCACCCATAGACCAAGATTGTTCTACTTTGGCAATTTTAAGATACAGACTTCAACTCCCAGAACTGGCACTCTCTCTCTCAGCCCAACTCAGCTGACAGGATTATGGGGAAAATAGGAGTAGGAAGGACTACAGGTCCTCGAGGTACAACAGTTCGTTTAATGACTGTTTGAAGTTACAATGGCACTAAAAAAAGGACGCATGACCATTTTTCACATGTATGACCATTTGGATGCCTAACAATTGGTTCATATTTATGACAGTTGCAGTGTCCCGGGGTCATGTGACCTTCTGACAAACAAAGTCAACGGGGAAGCCAGATTCACTTAACAACCGTGTTACTGACTTAACAACTGTAGCGATTCCCTTAACAAACGTGGCAAGAAAAGTTGTAAAATGGGACAAAACTCAACAAATTCCTCACTTAGCAACCTAAATTCTGGGCTCAGTTGTGGTCGTAAGTCGAGGACTACCTTCATTGGTACTGCACCTTCGCCGTCTTGAGTTGTATGTGAAAAAAGGCGGTATTTAAATATATATATATATATAAAATATATGTATATGTAGGTAAATATATATGTAGGTCTTTGGTTATTCGGGTTTTCTCCCGCGTAAAATTGGAAGTGTCTTGGCGACGTTTCGACGAAGTCCCATTCGTCATCTTCAGGCTGGTGTCTTCAGCTTCGTGACCGGCAGGGGCTGGTGGGCGAGAAGCACGAAGCTGAAGACACCAGCCTGAAGATGACGAATGGGACTTCGTCGAGACGTCGCCAAGACACTTCCAATTTTACGCGGGAGAAAACCCGAACAACCAAAGACCTACATACAAACACCTGCGAAAACCTCAGAAATATATATATATATTCTGAGGTTTTCGCGGGTGTTTGTATGTAGGTCTTTAGTTGTTCGGGTTTTCTCCCGCGTAAAATTGGAAGAGCAATATATATATTGCTCACAAAAATTAAAGGGAACGCAAACCCCTTCAGTTCCATGGTAAAACGTTCCCTTTAATTTTTTTGAGCAGTACGTATATAAAGCCGCAGCAGGCGCGCGCCGAGTCAAATAGATCCGGCCGCGGATTGGGTGCAAAGCTTCGGCTGGCCACGTGAGGCGCGCCTTTGCAGCGTTTTCTCGTGGGAACGGAGGGGGTGTGTGTGTGTGTGTCTGCTTGGGGCGACTGACGGAGTCGGGACAACCCCCGTCGGCCGGGCATGGAGACGGCTGCTCCTCAGGGGCGTAGCCTAGATTGCAGGGTGAGGCGGGAGAGCCCGCGTGACGCTTCTGGGCGCGAGGGCCGGGCAGCGG